GGAAGCGGGGGGGGGGGGGCAGGGTCAGCTCCGGCCCCCTGCACCACACGATCCAGAGCACTGAGCCCCCAGGGAGTGGGCAAACTCAGGGTCTCGGTAAGTGGTTAGGGGTCCGTTGCCCGGTCCTGCGCCCATTCCTGCCAAGCCTTATTTGTACCCTTCCAGGAACTAGCAGCTCACTACTCCCAACTCTTTCTTTTTTTTTTTTTTTAAGGATTTTTTATTTATTCATTTGTCAGAGAGAGAGAGAGAGAGAGAGAGCACAGCAGAGGGAGAAGCAGGCTCCCTGCTGAGCATGGAGCCCGATGCGGGACTCGATCCCAGGACCCTGGGATCATGACCTGAGCCAAAGGCAGATGCTTAACAGACTGAGCCACCCAGGTGTCCCCTCCCAACTCTTTCTACAGCTGGAACACACCCTTCTTTAGGTCAAGCCAGACTCTACCTCCCTGTCTTATCCTCCTCCTCCTCCCCAGAGGATCATTGTCCACCTCTTGGCTAACTATCTGAGGACAACACTCAGGACCCAGGGGTGATAATGGGGTACCTGTGAGCTGCCTGGGCAGGGGCTCAGCAGTGGGCAGCCTTGGGGAGGCTCAAATGGCAAAGAGGCCAACTTTCTCCACCTGGGAAATGGACCGGCTGTGTGGGGCTTCAGCCAGAGTCAGAGGGGAGATAGATGTGACAGCCCAGACAAGGGGGCGGGGATCGCGAGGCTGGACAGGAGGGCCAAGTCGGTCATCCCCTCCTCCCAAACCCCATTAACCTTCCCCCGTCTCATACCTTCCTCTGGATGGGTGTTGGCACCTTGTAGCCCTTCTTCATGATGCCCTTGAACACCGGGTAGCTCAAGCCTGGGAGAGACATAGGGATGGTCAGGGGGAGGGCAGCCCCCGCGGCACACCACGGAAAGCCAACCAGGACGGATGACCGTGTCATCAACGTCAATAGCAAGAAGAAAAGAAAGGCGACAGAACAAAACTTAGGAGACAAACCTACCCCCTGGGGGGGATACACCTCATGTGGATTCTGACTTGAACGCACTCGTGAGACAACTTGGGGTCTCAAAGTGGCGGGGTCTCAGCTCTGCTGAGGATCTGTGCCTGTTGCAGGCGTGGTAAGATCATGTGGGAAGTATTTAGGGATACAGAGAGGGGATGTCTGTGATTTGCATCAGAATCCTCCGGGATGCTGGGGACAAGCGGGGCGGGGGGTGGGGGTTGTGGAGGAAATGGGACGGTTGACAATGGCAATGGGTACAGGGAGACTTACTGTTTTCTATTTTTTTTAGATGTTTGAAATTCTTTATAGCTAAAAGAAAAGGGTGGGAAGTGGCCAGGGCCTGAGATGGGCGTGAGTATGGGTGCTGACCAGCTGAGGCATGTGGCCCTGTGTGGGGAAGGAGGTGGCCTTTGGAGACTGAACGTGACTTGGCGTTATGGAAATGGGAGGACAACGGGAGGCCTGGGGACAGGATGCACCGTGGTTGTAGCTGCTTTTTGGTCAACTCTTCATCTTTATGATCCGGAAAGGTGAAAAGTAGCCACGTGTAGATGTTTTTATTTGCTTTTTCTCTAATTATTGATAAAAGTTTAGCAGTTTTAATATATTAATTCGCCATCCAAATTCCTTTTGTGAGCCGACTTCTCATTTTCTTCACCCAGTTTTCTATCAGGGTATCTTTTTCTTACTGATTTGTAAAAGCTCTTTGTATACTACAGATGTTCACCCTATACTGGTCCCCAAAGTTGCAAGTACGTCCCTGATACAGCATTTACTTTAACTTAGTTTACAGTGTTTTTCTGTAAACATACATTTAACCGAAAAGAAGTTAAATTAGACAATGTTCAGATCATACTTAGAAAGGGCTTCTTTTTAAAATTATAAAAATATTCACCTTGATATTTAAATCTTTGCGCCAGATGCTACTGATTTGTAAAGAGCAAGAAAGAGAGTTCATTCAGCGTTCTTTCCCGCTAGCCAGGTGTCCTGATATCACCCACTACTTCACCTTTCCTCCCTCTCCTCTGAAATGCGTTTTGTCCTGCAGTAAGTCCCCGAGCGTCCTCTGTTCTGTCGTCAGTGCTGCCCTGAGTCTGCTTTATCTGCTCTCTCACTGGGTCAGTCCTCAGTCTACCTGATGCCTACCACAGAGCTGGGCCTCAAGCAGACATCAGTACCAGAGCACAGAGGGCATGATGAGCCCCTGCTGCGACTCCCCCAAAGTTCCCAGATGCCTGGCTCACCCACCCATGGACTGGAAGCCTCCGGACTTCTTCTTCTTCTTGTTCTGGGCGCGTACCATCTCCCGCGTGTCCGGCTCCACGTCTGAGGTGCACTCCGAGGTGGGGAAGGTGGGCAGGGGTCTGCCAGGTCCCAGCTGGGAGGGAGGAACAGAGAGGCAGCGTCACGCCAGGCACAATCAGACCACTGGGGGAAGGGAGAGGGACTATCTTGTCGTGGGCACCCCTCCATTCAAGCCGACGATGCCCCCACCAGATCACGTGACCTCTCTGCTAAAGGGCTCCCCATGACTGGGCCCGGGCAGGGCAGAGGCTCAGAGAGTGGGCCGTGCAGATAGACTGCCTACGTTTCAATCCCTTGCCAGTTGTGAGACCTCAGGCGAGAGACTTAATCTTCCCGAGTCTGTTTCCACATCTGGGAAACAGGGATGACAGACAAGAGCATGTGTCTCACAGTGCGTGTGAAGACTAAATGGATAAGTGTAAAGCCTAGATCAGCATCCAGCACATAAATGGTGGTATTATCATCACTGTCATCCTGGTCTATCATTCAGTACCCTCAAAATTAAAAACTCTAGAGGGCCAATCAAAGCATGTACTGTGTGTGTGGTACTAGACTTCTCCAAGCTGCCCTGTCCCCCTCTCCCGAGCCCCCTTCTGATCCATCACCCCTCCCAGCTCTGCTCTCTCTTGTGCAGCCTCCTTCCTGCCTAGCCAGGACCCACTTGTCCTAGCACAGCTATATCCAACCCAGATACCTCCTCTGGGGAGCCTTCTCAGACGACAGAGCTGTCCCCCTTCCTCTCAGAAATAACATTTATGGAGCACTAGTTCATCATTATGGTTAAAACTTCTGTGGCCCTCGCTCTAAGCCAGGTGATGCTCTGAGCATTCATATAAAATTACCCCGCTTTTAATCCTCATGGCTACTCTGTGAAGTAGGGACTATTAGTTTGTCCATTTTACAGAGAAGGAAACTGAGGCACAGAGTGATGAAGTAACCTGTCCACGCTCACACAGCCAGGAGGGATTTGAACCCTGGCTTCAGAATCTATGTTCTTTCATCTGTGACCCTCTGTGGCCCCCTACAACTGTCTGGCTCAGAGACGCAGTGTGTCTAGTGCGGTCTGTAAGCTAAGAGCGGATTTTATACATTTAAAAGACTGTAAAAACATCAAAGAAGACAATGACATTATACGGCCCCACAAAGCCTAAAATATTTACCACCTGTCCTTAACAGGAAAAGTTTGCCAACCTCTCTTCTAAGACACGTGAAAACCAAGTGCCTGGAATCCACTGGTGCCCCAGCAATATTTACTGAATGAGTAGAATGCGTGAACACTGTAATTTAATCCTTTCATGAGTCTCTGAGGCACATATAATCCTCTGTCTTGTACGCATGTGTAAACTTCTGCCTTCTACAGATGTGGCACAGAGAGGTTAAACAACTTCTCCAAAGTCCCACAGCCAGTACAGGGTTGGGCCACATTTGAACACAGGACTGCACCAGGGCAAAGCTCTTCGTCTGAACCATATCTGCGGGCTCTTCTTTGGCACCTACTACCTTGCCCTCCTGTGCTTTAGCAATTTCTCCACGTTTACAGAGCACCTACTGTATGCCAAGCACTGGCTCCCTTGGGGTGGGGAAACATAATCAGATCCAGTCTGGTCCCTGACCTGGAGGAACGTAGATCCCTCTCTTCATCTAAACACTCACTCTTTCATCTACCTACCCAAACCCCACTCTGTGCCAGGCACCATCTGGGCACAGGGCTGTGGGAAATAATGGGCTTTTAGCTCTTTTGCCCCCTTGGTGCTCACACCCGACCCTCCACCTTCTATATATAGTTGGCACTCAGTAGTGGAAACAGCACGGGCCCTGGAACCAGAGATTTGCATCCTGGCTCTTCCGCTCACAAGCTGTGAAGTCTTGGTCAAGTTCCTTAACCTCTCTAGGCCTCGGGGTCCTCCTCTGGAAAATGGAGATGGCAGCACTTAGCTCACAGAGCTGGTATGAGGATTATATGATAAGGTTTGTAAAGTTTTTAGCGTGGAGCCTGGCACATACTAAGCGGTCAGCAAACGCGAGTTTAATTTACTATTAGCTAACCAGGGTCTTGGGGGCGTCACTGTCTCAAGCCAGGGGGCCGGCCTCCGCTTAATTCAACCCGGCAAGAATCCCCCAAACTCTTGGAAGTCAGGGCTTCGGCTCCCGCACTTTTCATTGGACCAAAGGGAGCTAGGACCCGCCCCCTGGGCAGGAGGTAGCCAATGAGGGGCGACGACCAAAAGCCGGCCAGGAAGACCCGAAGGCCCCGGCCCCCGAATGCAGAGGCTCTAGCGTCGGCGGCCGGGGCGTGGCGGGCACGGAGACACGTGCTCAGGCTGGCGGTCCTGTCTCCGACCCCTGGCCAGCCGATCCCCACCCTCAGCCGTGCCCACTCCCCAGCTGGGGAAACCGAGGCTGCGGGGCGATGCGCGGAGCCGGGGCCCGGGCTCCAAAGTGTGCCTCGGCCCCGCGCTCCTACCTTCTGGGCCCGGGCGTCATCTTCCGCCTGGATCTCAAACTCGCCGTCCTCCGAGTCGCTGCCGCGGGCCTGGGAGGCCGCGCCTCGGCGCTTCCGCAGCCCCTTCTTTTTCCTCCACTGGGCCATGGCAGCGCGGGACCGAGGTCCGGCCGCCGGGCGCGTGCCGGCCGCCATGCGGGCCCCGGTGCAGGGAACCGCGGAGGGGGCGGGGCCTGCGGGTACGTACCAACGGCGCGGCTGGACGGGGGGAGCACTGCGCCTATGGGGCCCCGCCTGCGCTGCCTCCCCTTCTGTAGCCCCAGGAGGACTGGCGCGCACGCGCGGGCACACCGCTGACTGGCGGGAGAGGGTCATCTGCGAGGCTTCGGGGAAACTCCGGGGGCGTCCGGAACGGGGTGTCCTCCCCCGTGCCAATGGTTCCGGCCGCGCCGCCCCGCCCCTCGCTGGTTGCCGTGGGCTGCGCGCGCCGAGCACACGTCTCTAGGGCCTGGCTGCCGCGTGATTCCGTCCGCTCGGTTCCCGGGGCTGCGGCTGGGGCGGGGGGTGGGGGCTGGGGGCGGCCCGAGGTGCCTGGGCTCCCGGGCTTCCCGGGGTCCGGGCTGCAGATAAGCTGGGAACTCGGTGGCATCTTCAGAGGAGTCCAGACCTGGTGAGGAGGGGGCGCTGAGGTTGCAGCCGCCATGCTGGAGCTGAGATGCTCAGGTAGGAAAATAACTCAAGATTGCAGGGACCGCGGACATCAACCGGGGTATTGACTTGGGGAACGGGGAATATGGGGCAGTTGAAGGGATGGGTGTGACCCGCCAGTAGTAGAATGGTTAAGTGCATAAGCTCTGCACTCCTCTGTCAGGTTGAGATTTCTGTTCCACTGTTTCAACTTTATTAGGTGCGACTTACAGGTGTGACTTCGGCTTCTGAAGCCTCAGTTTTATCATCTGTGGGATGGACATAACCGAAGCTACTTCGAAGGACTGTTAAGAGGATTACACGAAACAATGCTTGTGAAGCTTTTTGCACAAGGTAGGCATGTGATAATGCTGGTTATTCACCCCATAAACATACACAGGTTATAAGGACCTGCCCTGTCTCCCGCATCCCACTATGCTAAGTTTTCTCGTTGGTGCCAAAATAGGCACAGGCCCCATCTCTTTTTCGTCCCCCGTTCAATATTGAGCACTGTATGCTAGGAGTGCACATTTATTCATTAAATATTTGCCAGTAGCGCCCCTCTCCCTATTGTTGTGACAGCCAAAAGACAGATGAACAAATTTCTGAAGTGTCCCCTGGATTTGGCAGCTCCACTTTTGTCCTTGGGTTGGGAACTTAGGAGACAGCCCATCTTCCTGTGCTGGCACCAACAATGACAGGGGTGCCACCCTGACCCCCTGTTACAGGGAGCCCTGGAGACAGGACCTGGCAGGCAAAGCATGCCTGCTATCACACGGAACCATGGGCAGCGTGAAGACCCCCGTGGAGCTGGCCATCAGTGGGATGCAGACCCTCCATCTTCAGCACCGTTGCCGGGGCGGCCACCGGGTCAAGGCCAGGGCATCCTACGTGGATGAGTCTTTGTTTGGCAGCCCTGCGGCTACCCGGCCCGCACCACCAGACTTTGACCCACCCTGGGTGGAGAAGGCCAACAGAACCAGTGGAGTGGGCACAGGGACATCACGGGCCTCAGGGGCCAACGGGAGCTGCGAGGCCACCTCTTCCAGGGGCAGCACCCCAGCCCTCAAACCAAGGAAGAAGAACAAATACAGGTAACAGGATGGGGAGATACACTCCTGTACTCATGAAGCCACCTGGATTCCAATTAGAACCCTGCTGTTGACATGCTGTGTGACTTTGGGCAAGTACCTTGACCTCTCTGAGCTACAGTTTCCTGTTGTGGAAAATGGGACCTAGTGGGTCTATTGAGAGGAAATGAAATGGGGTGTGTACAGGGCTTGGCATAATACCCTGACAGGAAGCTCTCAGTAAGTGAAAGTGACAGTGGTTGAACACCCATTTCCAAACGCCACAGACCAAGCAAGTGAGGCCCAGGGGGGTCAGGTGATTTACCCCAGATCACAGAGCAGTTTGCATAAGAATATTAATGTGGTTGAGCCATGAAATGACATAGATGTGGTGGGTCCCAGTTTTAGCAAGTCGTTTCAGAAGTGGTTTTTGCTGCCTTTTCACGAACAAACTAGAAAAACAGGAGTTGATGCTAATAGTTATTATTGTAAATTAATAAATGAGATTATTTGGATTATTTCAGGTTGATACCAGCATAGAGGGAGGTATCTAGTGGTGGGCCACAGGGCTCGATCTTGTTTATTGTTATCGGTGGTTTGGACAAAAACACAGAAGACTGGAATATTAGTCATTTACAGCTGTCATAATAAAATACCATAGACTGGGGAGCTTAAACAACAGAAATTAGTTTTCTCACAGTTCTGGAGGCTAAAAGTCCAAGTTCTGGGAGCTAGCAAGCTGAAGCCTCTCCTTGGCTTACAGACAGCCACCTCCTCGCCCTGTTCTCGCATGGCCTTTTCTCTGTGAGCATGTGCATTCCTGGTGTCTCCCCCCTTCTTATAAGGACACCAGTCCTGTTGCTTTAGAACCCACCTTTATGACCTCATTTAAGCCTAGTTATCTCTTTAAAATTCAGTGTGAATTTTGGGAGGACGTAGTTCAATCCGTAACAATTAGCCAATCGTATTTAGGGTCCATTCTGAGCCAGGAGGGGCATAGGTTGGTAGAGAGAAGTGAAAATGGGAATGGTGCCTATTTAAGGAGATAAAATTCAATGAGAGAAAAGCAAGGCTCCGTTGTTATTAGGCCAGCTTGAGCGCCGTGCATCTGATGTAGGGGCTGTAAGGTAGGGTCAGGTTGAAGTTAGCAGCACTGACACCTGCAACGTAGCTGAAAATGCTAACGTTAAGTAAGTGTGGGCTGCATTAACAGAGGTATGGTGTCCATGACGAGGGAGGTCAACTCCATGCTCTCCTGGAGGACAGAATTTTGTGCAGGATGCTGACAAGCAGAAGTTGTCAAGTGAGAATGTGCATAAGAGAGAGATGCTGTCGAGTGAAACCCTTGGCACCGGACGGCCATAGGCAGCGAGCAAATGTGGTTTGACGCATCAAAAGGTGACATTTCAAAGACTTGCAGTTTGAACACAGAAGCACTTTCAGTCCTGGCCAAAAGCCATGGAGCTGACACCTCATAGGTGTGCCCTGAATGTTTGTGAGATGAATAGAAAAAAAAAATTGCTGAGTGAATCTAATTAAAGGTGAGAAGCCTAGAAGTCACTTATATCTGAAATGCTGATCCCGGAGCTTGGGCCCTTGGATTTGAATCTTGTCTCTATACCCTCCTCGTTACGGGGGGCCTTCCCCTCCCCATGCCTCCTTGTCTTGTTTGTAAAATGGGATTATCATATCTCCCTCCTGTGGATGTTTGTGAGAGATAATGAGATGATGCACATGACGTGCTGAGTTCTGGGCCTGCACATGAAGAGCCCTCAGTAAATATTCAAAATTTAAAAAGCTTCTCTGGTGATGAGGCCAGGTCAGCGTTATAACACAAGTTCAAACTGAGCGCCCTCTCGAGGCCAGGCACTGCGCTGTGTCATTTCAAAAACAGTGGGACGGGCCACAGGATTGCAGAGGGTTTGTCTGACAAGGCCACTAGGGAGAAGGAGAATTGGGGGTAAAAAAAAAAAAAAAAAAAAAAGGTAAAGACCTGTAAAGATTAAGGTTATACTTATTGGGACTCCTACATGCAAGTGACGTGGAAGACTTACCCAAAGTGGCTTTAGCAGAAAAAGGATGTTTAGGGCTTGTTTATCAGGGGCTCAAGCTGTTGTTGGATCCTGTCTCCCTCTTAGCACAGCTTGCCCCGCCACGTCGCATCCGAGCCAGCCACCAGCTGCTTTGCCCTTCTATCCTGCTGGCTTCTCAAGGCCAGTTGGCAGACAACATCTTTCCTGGTAGTTTCTTTCTTTCTTTTTTTTTTTTAAAGATTTTATTTATTTATTTGACAGAGAGAGACACAGTGATAGAGGGAACACAAGCAGGGGGAGTGGGAGCGGGAGAAGCAGGCTTCCCGCAGAGCAGGGAGCCCGATGCAGGGCTCGATCCCAGGACCCTGGGATCATGACCTGAGCCGAAGGCAGATGCTTAACGACTGAGCCACCCAGGCGCCCTTTCGTGGTAGTTTCAACAAGGGTCCTAAGGCAGGCGCTCATTGGACAGGATGGGTCATACGGCCTTTCCCAAGCCAATCAGTGTGGCCAGGAAGATGGAATATGCAAATTGGCCAGGCCTGGGAAAGGGGGAGGTCAGGATGCAGGGGACTGGCTGCTTGGCAGGGGAAAAACAACGGAGATGGGGATGGTGGGACACCAGAGGGCTGTGGCCTTGCTGTGGGTGCCAGGCTGGGAGGCAGGGCTTAAGGTTTTTAGGGTTTGTTCATTCCCCCAGCTCACTGCATTTCTCTTCCCTTTCCTAGACTGATCAGCCACACTCCTTCTTACTGTGATGAGTCGCTATTTGGCTCCCGACCTGAGGGCACCAGCTGGGAGGGCCCGTGGATGGCAAAGGGGGATGCTGCCAAACTCCATGCCCTCTTCTGGACACCCCCAGCCACCCCTAGGGGCAGCCACTCGCCCCGCCCCAGGGAGACCCCGCTGCGAGCCATTCACCCAGCTGGTCCCTCGAAGACAGAGCCCGAGGTGGTGGCAGACTCCCGGCAGCTGTCCACAGATGGGTTAGACTCTCCACACCCTCGGAGGCGGGAACGTTCCCATTCCCTTACACGCCTGAATGTCCCCAGCACTGGTCGCCCACCTGTCAGTGCCCCCCACACCAATGGGCCTCGGGATCCCAGGCCTTCCCTGTCAGGGGTGACCTTCCAGAGCCCCCTAGTGACGCCCAGGGCTCGCTCGGTTCGTATTTCACTGCCAGCCACCCCCCAACAAAGTGGGGCCACCGAGAAACCAAAGCCCCCTTGGAAATGAGTTTCTTGGTCCTCTCGTCAGGTTTGCCCATGGGGTCACGGTGAGGGGCCCAGTTTCAGAGTCTCCCAGGTAACCATGAGGCATTGGAGAAGCGCTCAGGGGGGCAGATATAGCAAGATTGGGCGGTGCCCCCCTTTATGCTGACATCCACCAGTTTCTTCCTACCTTTTACTCCATGATGGGGATTTGACGGCTCCCCCTTGAGATGCCTGTTCCCAGTCTTGCTATAGCCACAGGCCAAGTGAGTGCCAACCCAGGGGTGCCCCTGGGAGGGGCCCACCACTCCCCCATCACTCCCACAGCATCGTCTTATTGCCAAGTGTGAATAAATGGCACAATCGCCAACCTGGAGGGTCCCTTCTTCCTTCAAGCCAGGCTTCCTGCTCAGGATGAGTTTCCAGCTGAGTCTGGAGTTTTCCCAGGCACAGTGAACGGACCATGGGGAACAGAGGATCTGGGTGATGTGTGGGTGGACATGTTTTTATTTTTAATAATCATGTATTTATTTTCACATATTAAAAATATATCAGTAGCTCATCAAAGCCATGACTGACTAATTTTATTTTCCTCAGGGCAAGGGCCAATATAGGCCTGAGTTGAATTAAATAACAAAGATAAATACAATGAGGAAGTGGCAGAAATCGTAACTGTGGTGAGTTGACAACTGAAGTTTGAGAACATGGGCCTCCTACATTTCCCACATTTTCCCAAAAAACAGAGTGACGAGGAGGACTCTGCCAAGTGGAGAAGTCCAAGAAGGCCAGAAAGTTACACATGGCATCTGGAGAGCACTCCGGACAGAGAGAGGCGTAAGCGGTCCGGGAGCGCCCTGCTCTCTGGCGCTCTGCACCACCTTGGGTCAGGTCACTTATTCTGCTCGGATGGAGTTATACCCAGAATCCCAGGATCCTGCTGGATTTGGGTGGGGGGTAGGCTTTGGCCTCTTTGTGTCCCCACTTCCCTCCAGTGCGCCTCCAGGAAGCACTGTGATTCTAGAGAGCCCAGTTGGAAGCCACATCATTGGTTCTGTACCTCCACCTCCAGGAGGGGGAGAGCGGACGTGTGGGGGGAGCAGTCTGGGAGGGACCAGCGGTGGCCAGGACCAGGGGCACCCATGCAGATGCTTACTGGGGTCAGGTGGGCCGTGAGCAAAGCAAGCCAGCCGCACTCTTGGCACAAACACTTTGTACATATGTAGGATGTTTAAACTAGAATTTCACAAAGAATTAGTTTCCTCCTTGGTTTCACCGGAGACACCCAGCTCTCCTCTGCCTTTATCTCCTCGCCCTGTTATAATAGACGAACCAGAAATGTCTCTCCTCCTGAGTACACTAAAGAGGGCGACAGCCCAAGTGTGATGGTACTGGGGCAATTGGCACAGGCCGTGTGTTTGGAAGGCAGCTGGGAGTGGTGGGGACTGGGGCAAGCTGCAGTGTCTGCCATCTAAAAGTGTCTGCCGCTCGGCTCTCGAAGACGGGCAGACCCCGGGGTATCTGGATGAGATGTTTCCAAAAAAAGCAGAAGGCTGGGTTTCTCTAGGACAGCCCCTGACCTGAAAACCTGATCCCCCTGGAGTTCTCTGCCTGCCTGCCCTGCGCACCCCCCCCCGCACCCCCCCCCCCCCCGCCCACCCCTCACAGGCAGCTGTGAGCACAGCCCGCCGCCCTGGTGGCTGGTATGTGCACTGCAGCCACGCCCGGAGTCTGGGGCCAAGAAGGCTGCAGCCCGCGGTCTGGCTTCCCGCTGAGGCTAAAGGAAGGAATAGCTCTGTGCTGACACCCTGGCCTGCGTGCTCTCCCCATGGGAAAGGCATCGGCATGTATGATGACACAAACAGTCAACTGCGCTGGCAAAGTGACGTTTATTTATAGGATGTGGTTTAAAATGGCTTTTAACTTTGAAAAACCGTTCAAGCCAGGAATGGCAAGTCTCCCCCTCCTCGTGGCCTCCTGGCCTGCTCTCTGGGAAGTGAGCGATGCGGTAGCACAGGCCAGGAGCAGGTCCCCCGGGGGGGGACTCATTTCTTGGCCTTGGCCTTGGCCTTGCCCTTCCCCTTGCCCTTCTCCTTGACCCTCCCTTTGCTCTTGCTCCGCTTCTTCTTCCTGGACCTGAGCATGGAGCGGACCAGGTAGCCCTTCCACAAAGCCTGGATGAGCGTGGCAGCCCGCACCATGCGCAGCATCTCCTGCTCAGCCTCTGTTCTCTTCTTGGCATTGACCTCCCGCTCGGCCTGGATCTGAGAGAACTCCTCCACTAGTACGTTGTGCTTCTGCTTCAGCTCCTCCAGCTGGACCTTCTCCTCCTTATGGATGATGTCAAGCTCCTCGTACTCTTCCTGGGATGAGGGTCAGGGGGTGGGGATCACCAAGCATAGGGCGCCACCTGCCACCCTCCCCCGCATGCGCCCTCACCCCATCCCAAAGGGGCTTCCGCCCCAACAGCGCCATCTGCACTAAGCCTTTCTGCATCCGAGGCCCGGATGAGAACAGGAGAGGTGATGTGGTACATCCGCAGGTGGGACCTGACTAAAATCATCTCAGGAAGAAGGAAAGAACCCAGGCCGGTGGGTTGGGCAGACTGGGTTTCGCATCCCAGATTGGCTGTGCCCTGAGGGGGCTTCATTTGTCCTCTGAGACATGGGGACAATTCCAAACCCAGGAAGTGGGTGGGAGCTTTCTACAGGATTAAATGATGGGGTGGACACAATGTGCTGGATGTGGTGCCAGGCATATAGTGGGGACATAAACATGCAAGCTCTGGGGCGCCTGGGTGGCTCAGTCGGTTGAGCGTCCGACTCTTGATTTCAGCTCAGGTCATGATCTCAGGGTTGTGAGATCAAGCCCCGCGTCAGGCTCTGCGCTCAGCAGAGAGTCTGCTTGGGATTCTCTCTCTCCCTCTCCCTCTGCCCCTCCCCTCACTCACGCTCTCTCTCTTTCTCAAATAAATAAATAAATCTTTAAAAAAAAAATGCAGCTCCTGTCACTAAAGCTATGTGTCTCACAAAGATACACAGAGTGGAACTTCCTCAGGTGACTGAGTCCCACAGTTCTTCCTTATGTCCAACTATTGCCCCCTGCTGCAATTTACACCTATCCCCCTCTCTCCCTTCCACTCACTTACCAAGCATCTGCCAGAAGCAAACAGCTGAGTAGACTCGGTCTCTGCTGACGAGGAACCCACCACCCTCATTGGGTCCAGAGAAACAAGAGCACGGCCTCTGAAGTCCCTCCTCCCTGGAGCACTCATGATCAGAGAGAGCAAGACCCCGACTTGCCCTTCCCCTGACTTGGGACCACTCAGAGGCTGATGTCATCCCCAGTGCTTGCCAAACCTTCCCGGCCCTGAAGCTGGGACCATGCGCCCCAGTGTTACCACAAAGCTGTGGGGCGGGGGGGGGGGGTGGGCTTGAAGGCGCCCCGTTTTCCAGGCCACCATTCCCTCAGCACTTCCTCCAGGCCAGATCCCGTGCTGGGTGCAAGCATTTGTGACAATGCTGCCCCCCCGCATCCCCATCATGGTCCCAGCACACTCCTTACTGCCTCTGGTGATCACAGGCAGAAGCAGGCTCGGAAAGGTCAAGCCCCTTGCTTCAGGTCACCCAGCTGACAGGTGACACTAGAGCCTCCAGGTGATAATGGGGACCATCTTCACTGCGCTGTCCCAGCACGTGGCACATCTCAGGCCCACAGTGGAAACTTTCTGGGTGACTGAGTGAAGTAGGGGAGGCAAGTTCATCCTGAGTCTGCGGGGAGGGAGCCCCGGCTGTGCGGCTGGCAGGAGCCGAGCGCGGAAGGGACTGACAGTATGGGATGTGGACACTAGATGGAGCCAAGATCGTTGGGCCTAGCGACAAGCACTTAGTAGCTTCCAGCTTCGGGCTCCTTCCTTTTCCATCTCTCCCTTCGCTGCCCCAGGCCAGACAAACCTGGGGCCTAAGGAAGGGGGCAGGGAAGCCTGTCTGGGGAGGCCCAGAGCTTGGCACAGACTATGGACCATTCCTAGAGGATCATGGGCAATGCACCCGAGAAACTGATTGCAGCACAAATACCTGCTTCTCACCCATCTCCATATCATACTTCTGGATCCAGTTCTCGATTTCCGTCTCCACTTTATATTTCTTCTAAAAAAAATTCAGTGAGTCAGTGTTTGATGGATTAATATGAATAGTAAACTGCACCAAGCTTGCTCTACACCAAGGTTAATGCCTTGCCCACCGAATCTACACAAGGTAGGTTCTCCTCCATTTCACAGATGAGGAAACTGGAGGATCAAATGTGCTAACTCATTTGCCCAAGATCACAGAGCTAACAAGTGGTAGAGCCTGGAATTGGAAGCCAGAGGTCTGACTCCAGAACATTCTAGGCAAGGGAGTAGCAAGTGCAAAGGCCCTGAGGTAGGAACAGGCTTGTGGTGTTTAAGAATAGACATTGAGCCAGTGTGCCCGGAATGCAGTGGCTGAGGAGGAGCGGGATCCCATGGAGGTCAGAGTGAGAAGCTGTGTCATGGAAGGAAGTGTCAGCCGGGGAAGGAGTTTAGATCCTAGTGTAACGGAGAGGGGAAGCCATTGGATGGATTGAGATGTAGGAAAGGGACATAATCTAATTTGTTTGTAAAAGATCAGCTCCCATACATACCATGGAATGTTACTCAGCCATAGAAAGGAATGAAGAATTGATAAATGCTCATGTGGATGAACCTTGAAAACATGATGCTAAGTGAAAGAAACCAGACACAAAAGACCACATATTGTGTGATTCCATTTACATGAAGAGTCCAGAACAGGCAAATCCATAGAGACAGAAAGCAGATTGGCGGTTGCCAGGGGCAGGGGAAGGGGGAATGGGGAGTGGCTGCTAATGGGTCCAGGGTTTTATCTGGGGGGATGGAAATGTTCTGGAACTATCCAGAGGTGGGGGTTGTACAACACCGTGAATGTACCAAATGCCACCAAATTGTTCTCTTTACAATGATTAATTTTATATTACATGAATTTCACCTCAATGAAAAAGAAAGAAAGAAACCAGCTCCCTAATCCTACAGAGCAAGAGCTCTTCCCTTGGACGCCATGGACAGGCTGGCTTCAGGGGGCCTGTGTCCCCAAGAATCATCCACCAGTTGTGTGTAGGTGCATCTGTGCCTTCTTAAGGAGGAGAGGCCCATGGCTTCCCCCAGGTGCTCAAGAGCCGTGACACTAAATGAGAACTGGGAACAAGGATTAGAGAAGGTGCCCTTTGCGAGGAAAGAGATCTGGAAGCAAGCTGGGTGTGTGTGCGCAGGGGCTCGGTGGAGATGGTGGAGAGACAAAAGAAGATAAGAAAAAAAAAAGAAGAAGATAGCAGGAGGGGAAGAATGAAGGAGGAGAAATCGGAGGGGGAGACAAACCATGACAGATGAGGGACTGAAAAACAAACTGAGGGTTCTAGAGGGGAGGGGGGTGGGAGGATGGGTTAGCCTGGTGATGGGTATTAAAGAGGGCACGTTCTGTGTGGAGCACTGAGTGTTATGCACAAACAATGAATCATGGACCACATCAAAAACTAATGATG